CCCCGGCCAGGGCCCCCCAAAACACCACACCTGGGGTACCCAGCACTGCACCAGGGGCCCCAACACGGCAACATAGGGCCACAGACATGGGAACCCCCCACACCATCACCTCCCCCCGACCCAGGACAGAGCTCCAAGGGCATCACAGGAAATAATAATGAATAATAAATATAACACTATATAACAATATATAATAGTATTATAATATAACAGTATATAACACTAATAATAATATAATAATAATTATAATATAATATACAAAGCTCCAATGGCATCATCATCATAATAATAATATAATAATATAATAATATACAGAGCTCCAAGGACATCATCATCATAATATAATAATATGGAGAGCTCCAAGGACATAATAATAATAATAATAATATAATATACAGAGCTCCAAGGACATCATAATAATATAATATACAGAGCTCCAAGGACATCATAATAATATAATATAATATACAGAGCTCCAAGGACATCATAATAATATAATATAATATACAGAGCTCCAAGGGCATCATAATAATATTATAATAATAATATATAATATACAGAGCTCCAAGGACATCATCATAATAATATAATATATAATAATAATAATGTAATATACAGAGCTCCAAGGACATCATAATAATATAATATACAGAGCTCCAATTACATAATAATAATATACAGAGCTCCAAGGACATCATAATAAAAATATATAATAATATACAGAGCTCAAAGGACATCATAATAATAATGTAATATACAGAGCTCCAAGGACATCATTATAATAATAATAATATACAGAGCTCCAATGACATAATAATAATATACAGAGCTCCAAGGACATCATAATAACAATATTATAATAATAATATAATATACAGAGCTCCAAGGACATCATAATAACAATATAATGATATAATAATAATAATATACAGAGCTCCAAGGGCACCATCATAATAATATAATATATAATAATAATAATGTAATATACAGAGCTCCAAGGACATCATAATAACAATAGAGCTCCAAGGACATCATAATAATATAATATACAGAGCTCCAAGGACATCATAATAATAATATACAGAGCTCCAAGGACATCATAATAATATAATATAATATACAGAGCTCCAAGGGCATCATAATAATATTATAATAATAATATATAATATACAGAGCTCCAAGGACATCATCATAATTATATAATAATAATAATGTAATATACAGAGCTCCAAGGACATCATAATAATATAATATACAGAGCTCCAATTACATAATAATAATATACAGAGCTCAAAGGACATCATAATAATATATAATATACAGAGCTCCAAGGACATCATAATTATATAATGATATAATAATAATAATATAATATACAGAGCTCCAAGGACGACATCATCCTTGGTTGTATAGGGAGAGGTATTAGCAGTAGAAAGAGGGAAGTGCTCATGCCATTGTACAGAACACTGG